GTTTAGGGTTTAGGATTGAGGCTTTAAATTTCAGTTCTACAAGGAGTAATGTTGTCCCACGACGTGCAGAGCATCTTCAGTCCGCTGATAAGGGCTTTTGTGCTGTTTCACGTGCCGGTTTCTGCAGAGTTGCTCCTCTTCGGGTTTAGGAGTTTCGGCGTTTAGGTTAGGGGTTTCGGGTTCAGGGCATGAGGGTTTGGGGTNNGGATTTGGGGTTTGGGGATTTGGGGGTTCGCGTTGGGGTTTGGAGTTTAAAGTTTGTAGGCGTAGGGTTTATAGGTTTGGGGTGCAAACTGGGCTTTGAAGTAACCAGGACGAAAAAAAGGATAAACTCGATTTCATAATGGTTCCTTTAACAAACCAGTCCCAAAACCAATTAAAGCCAAAAAAGTTTTAGGCTACCCTAAACCCTAAACCCCTAAACCCTATGCCCTAAACCCTAAACCCCTAAACCCTAAACCCACTAAGGGTTCAGGGTTGTGGAGTCTAGGGGTTTTGGGGTTCACGAAGTTGTCGCCGGACGATCGCGGATCTGACTGAGGCTTTTCAGATTCGGGGCTTTGGCTGGGGAACTTGGGTCTATATGGGGTTTAGGGTGAAGGGGTTTAGGGTTTGGGGGAAAGGGTTTAATTAGGGGGAAGAGGTTTGGGGTTTAGGGGTTTGGGGTTTCGGGTTGGGGGTTTGGCTTCGGCGTACTTGGAAAGAATGATTAGGGTTTAGGGTTTAGGGTTAAGGGAAGAGGTTTTGGGGCTAAGGGTTAAGGCTTCGTTGAGGGTTTAAGGCCTTGAAGCTCGCCGAGGTTAGGGTGTTTGTCCTTCCTGCAAGCATTTCGGCGGAAAGACGCCTGAAATCGATTCATAGGAAGAAGTTTGTCAATGGTTTTTAAACCCCTTGAAAGCATGAAGGGACATGCTGCTGGGCATTTCTGATTCGGTGGCATGAACCCTCGGGAAGTTTCAGATAGTCGCAAACGGTTTAGGCCTTCAAGGATTGAGCCTTGATAATGCCCTAGTTTGCCTTTGACTACACGAGACAAGCTTAAACGAACTCTCTTGCGAAGGGTCTAGATGTCTGAACTGCATGTGCTTTCTCGTTCTACGACCCTCTGGCGCAACACCTGTATGCATCCCATCATTACCCCCTGGCCAAACCCAAACCCTAAAACCTAAACCCTAAACCCCTAAACTCCAGGCCCTAAACCCCGAGTCCTAAACACTAAACCCCTAAACCCTAAACCCCTAAACTCTAAACCCTAAACCCTAAACCCCGAGTCCTAAACCCTAAACCCCTAAACCCTAAACCCCTAAACCCCTAAACCTCTAAACCCTAAACCCCGAGTCCTAAACCCTAACCCCTGAACCTGGGACTCCCATAGACCTAAACTTTAAACCGCGTGGACCAAAAGCTTCATCAGCTAAGTTCCCACAACCCTGACTAGAGGGCTCAGGGTTTAGGGTTTAGGGTTTCAGGGGCCATCATCGTCAGAATCTGGGTTTGGGGTAATCATATAATGTGTGACCCCCTAGGCATCAGACTCGTGTCAATAACCATACATGCTGAGGGTCGCTACAATTAACAGTACGGATGACAATAGCAAGGCTTGTATAATGCTTGTATGAAGCTTCCGCATTGGGATTTTGAGAAGTCCTGGAGGGCGATGCCACTGTCCGTAACCAGCTGCTGCCGAAAGCGTGGATGTCCACAAAACGTCTGCAAATGGCGCTTCCTCAGCTGGAGGATTTCTTTTGGGTTTATGTTGATCTACCATAAAGTCCTGTTCTGCAGGGCCTATCAAGACTCAAAATTTCACGGGTGTATTTCTACAGCCTACAAAAACAGCTTTGTCCAAGCCGGCGTTGGTCTTTCAGATTTGGGGTAATTAGCTGAGGGCTTCCTGCGAGAGGTCTTGTAAGACTAAGTACGAAGTTTAACGGCAAACTGGGGCATGGTAACGCAGTGCTTGTTGCGACAGTAACCAGAAAACGAAGAAAGCTCTAGGCTCTAGAAAAAATGAGCATCCGAAGAGACTAATTACGGTCTTCCCTAAACCCGAACATCCTACGTCCTAAATCCAGAGCACTCAAACCCAAACCCTGAAATCTTGGAGCCCTACACCATGAAACCCTACAGCCCTAACTCTACCCCTGAAACCTGAAGCCCACACACTGAAACCTTAAAGCACCAAGCCCTAAAACCTGTGCCCTGAACCCTCGAGTCGTTGAGACATGCAGGGTTGGAGTTGCTCAAGCACCTAATGGATGATGGGGCTCAGTAACTTAAAGGGCTCGTTTCTCAGAATGCTCCTTGCTGAGTAAGGGTTCTTAAACACGTTCGCTTGGGGTTCAGGGCTTTATGGATCATGGGACTTGGCAAGAAGAGGACTATGTTGATACTAACTTATGACCCTAATAGATAACGGTACCTATAGACTTGTAGCCTTATTTACAAAGTCTCCTGATCCTTCCAGCACTGGAAAGCTCGCTGAAAGCTGAGTTTGAGTACCCAAGAAACCCAATATCCAGCCCTAAAGGCCCTAAACCCTAAACCCTGAAGGAAGGAATGCAACCTCTAAACCCTAAATCCAAATAAACCCTAAAGGAAGGAACGCAACCCCTAAACCCTAAACCCTAAAGGAAGGAACGCAACCTAGAACCTTAAGGATCCCTCAAGTCCCGGCCTTCAGCAGGGTGTCTTTCCATAATCTTTACGTCGTATCACTGCTTGGAGGCCCAGGGGACTTAGTAAGTGGGTTATAAGTAGAGTTATAAGTACCCTAAATGGAGTTACCCTAATTCTAACCCTACTTATAACCGACTACCACTAAGTCCCCTGGGCTTCCAAGTGTTATATCATTCAAGGAATCTTCCATACAAGCTCGGGCATATGAGTAGTTCTCTAAGTTAGGGTCCTTTCTTATAAGGGCGCCGTACTATATTGGAAAGGGACCCTAATTTAGAGAGCTACCCATATACTTAAGGAAGACAAACCCTACAAAATAGTAGGTTACGACCCCTTAATTAGAGGGTAGAACCCATAAAACGACAGGTTTTTGGATCCCCAGGTATACCTTAATGAACATTTCACCATAACGGGGATCTACAGTAAATACTGTGGTTTCTTTATTACCTTAACCAACCAAAACCCACTTTTTTGTAGGTGCTGATTATAAACCCTAATATGGGATTTACAGGGACCCTACACAAAAGTAGGTTCTGGTGGGTTTAGGTATGGTAACTTCAAGAACCCAGCTTCAGTGTGATCACGGGCTTCCCGGAGTCCCCAACGAGGTCTGCGAGAAGCTCCGGTGACACCGTCGTCACGACCTGTGAGCGTCTTTTTGGGGTTTGGGGTTTAGGG